CCAGAAATGGTGTTATTTCTCACCCTCTGGAAAAATGACCCAGGACAGAAGCCATTGGCTCCCAGACCACTTCTGAGAGGAGGGAAGATGTGACCTTAAGATCAAAATGGCCAAGCCTTGGAAGCTGGCCCCACTGGTAGTGCATGGAGCCTGTAGTTTACAAGGAGGTGGCACAGAGGCCCAGCTGTCCTTGCAGCCCATGGGAAGACCCATGAGGTGCTGGCACAACTTATTCGGGCTCCTGGGGCTATGCCATGGGAAGGCCTCTGGAGAAAAGCCCCACCTGAAGCTCTTTTGAAGCCTCTGCTGCAACCGCCCTGTCTAGACACTGTGCAGCCACCAGGTGGCAGCCAAGGCCTCAAGCAGGCGGAGAAAGCGTAGCCCACGAAACTGAATGAAGGCCAGGCAGATCAGCAATGTTCAGGAGAGCTTCCAGCACCTGCAACCAGAGAGTGAGGGATAGAGAGAGATACAAGACAGAGAGAGAGACAGAGAGATATTAGATAGAGACAGAGAGACAGGAGAACATGTGCATGTGTGTGGCTGCACCTGTGTGGGGTGGAAGTATATGGACAGACACAAAGCTGGACAGATGTCAGTTTAGTCCCCTTCCGTTGGGTCTCTTCCACAGTCCTGGAGCTTCCCTTCTCCTTTCCAGCCCTGTCCTGGGTAGTGGTGACACAGAGAGGAATGTGACCCCATCCATGCCCTTGCGGAGTTCTTAGACTTGGGGCTGGCACTGGATGCAGCAAGTAAACAGATGCACAGTGGGGTAGGGATGCAGAGATCAAAGGCAGTGCAGGGGCCTGAGTTGCCCGGAGACAGGCACCTGACCCAGGGGGAGGGGGAGAGTCCCAGAAGAAGGGACACCTAAGATGACTACAGAGGGCTTTCTGGCAGGTCTCAGCTATGCCACCTTGGTTTCCTCCCAGCAGCCCTGCAGGGAAGATATTACAGAACCAATCTTACTGGCAAGTAAGGGCAGGGCAGGGGGTCCCAAAGGCAGAAAGGAGCAGAGCTGGACTTTGGACCACAGTCTGCATGAGTCTCAAGCTCAAGCTTTTGGACACTTTGCACACTGCCCGGGACAAAAAGCGAGGAGGAAAGCTGATCTGGGGAGTCAAGATCCACAGCCAGTCTGGACAGGAGGCAGGTGCCTTTCTCCCGTCCCAGCGCTAGTTCTGATGTCTGTAGCCATCTGACTTGCCTGTGAGGTGTCAGTCTAAGAGGACAGAGCAGAGTGTATATGACTCAGGCCTCGCCCCCCTGCCCTTGTTGGGGGAAGAGACTCTGCCCAGCAGGAGTCTTGATCTGACAGCCCTTGAAGCACAACAAAAAATTGGTGTCTACATATGCCGCTCTGAGTATACAGGAAGTAACCTTGAAACTCATCTTGGCCACCTGGCACTCCATCCTAGAATAGCTGACGCTAGAGAGAGAATTACATAACCCTTTTTGAAAACCAACTCGTAGCTGGAAGTTCCTCTTCAAGTCCAACTGAAGTCAGCAGAGCTGCAGTCTACCTTCAGCTGTGCAGTTCCTGGACAGAGGCTTTCCTTTCCTGCCTGGGTCAGAGTATAATCTGTAAGGTAAACCGGTGAAACAGACATAGTGCAGATGGAAGAGGAGAAAGAAAGATGCCGGCCCTGTTCCAGGAAGCAGGAAGAGCAAGAACGTGCTGGCAGTAAGAGACCATCCCGGGCTGCCAGGGCTCGGGGCAGCCTGCGTGTTGCAGCAGAGGGAGGTGGCGGAAGGGACCCCAAGGAGATGATGCCACGAAAAGAAATGAAACTCCCACAAAGTCGTGGGGCTTGCCATGGGGTGGCATCAGGGGAAGTCTGGGAGGGAAGGGAAAGTTGGAAGCAGGCAAGAGGGGAAGTCATCTGAAAGAAAAGGAAATGCAAGCGGAGGTACAGGAGCGTGGGGGCTGAGCGGAGGAGAAGAGGGGACTGGACAGAGAGAGGAGAGGTGAAAGATGAGGTGAAAGCAGGCCTGGAAACTGGGAAGCACTCAGAGATGGAGAAAGGCTGGACGAGACAAAGGGAGGGATCCCACGCTGTCGGGAGAAAAGCTGGAAGCCGAGGAAAGGCCTTTGGAGGTTCCCGCCCTGTCCAGCCCATGTTGGGTCTGGCTGTCGCTCACACTCCGAATCCCCTCCCCCAGCACGGACAGCGCGCCTCCAGCCCCGCCCTGTCCAGAGGCTCCCTCTCCCCCGGCCCTCGGAGGCCGCCCCCTGGGAGCTGGTTGGGGGCCCCGATAGATGGTTGGGGGCCCAGCTGGTGCGTTATCAGCCTCTTCCAGGAGCGAGCCTGAACCACTCAGCGGCTGCCAGTCTGAGATTAGGCCCCCAGAGGGTCATTAAGCAGCGGTCCTGGCCGGGGCCCAGCCTCTTTCCTCCCTGATCCGGGCTGGCTGGCAGGTGGGAGCAAGCGATAAGGATTGGGGGTCTCGCGGTCCTGGGGCCGGCAGCTCCCTGCTCCCAGCCCCCGGTCAGGACAGAAATACGGCCTGGAGGTGAGGGGCTGTGAGGTCAGTGTTGGCCTAGCCCCTGCAGGGGCCGCATGGTTCCCACCCGTCCAAGTCCTGCCCAAATTGAGAGAGACAGAACTGGGAGGGGCCCAAGGAGGCTGGGGAAACGGGGGAGTCTAGTCGCAAGCAGGCCCTCCTGGCAAAACCTCCCAGGTGTGAGGGGCTGGGCTTCACCCGCTGGTGGTTCATGGCTCTGCTTTCAGACCCTGGCACAGTGGGATGGGGGAAGCACTAGCAGTCTCAAACCCGTCCCCACACCCTCAGAGACAACTGGGAACAAAGGTGAGAGTGAATGTAACCTCTTGCAAGGAAAATCAAATTTGGGCAGCCATAAAGTCCTAACCAGGGCCAGATGTGGTGGCTCAGGCTTGTAATTCTAGCACTCTGGGAGGCTGAGGCAGGTGGATTGCCTGAGCTCACCAGTTCAAGACCAGCCTGAGCCAGAGCCTGGCGTTTGGGTTGGGCGCCTGTAGTCCCAGCTACTTGGGAGGCTGAGGCAACAGAATTGCTTAAGCCCAAGAGTTTGAGGTTGCTGTGAGCTGTAACCCACGGCACTCTACCCAGGGTGACAAAGTGAGATTCTGTCTTTAAAAAAGAAAGAAAAAGGAAAAAGTCCCAACCGAGAGACTGGAAAAGAAGGAGTTTGTGCCTTAGCAAAGGCCTGACCCTCTAGGAACCTTTGCCTCTCCTCCAATGAGTGAAAAGCTGGGTGGGCCACTGGCCTGGATTTGCCCTCTGGTCTAATCAGGGAAGTCTTCTCAGAGGAAGAGAAATCTTGGCTGGGCCAAGAAAAAAAAAAAGGCCAACTTTAAACTGGCAGAGGTGGGATGAGAAGGCATGAGTTATAGAAAGCCACAAAAACAAAAGACTAGAAAGGAATCACCAGAGGGACAGCCACAATTTCTTAAGCTGAAGCCCAGAGAGGGGAAGGGACTTGTCCCCAGGCACACAGCAAAGCAGAGGTAGGCCTGGAGCAAAGATGCTGCCCGCCCTCAGATCTCTTCCCTCTGTTGCAGGCTGCATCCTCAGCCCCAGTGAGTTGAAAAGGATAATTCTGATTCAAGATGGACTTTCCCCAGGAGTATTGGGGTGAAGCCTTGCAACAGCAAAAGAATGGTCATGATGGTGACTTCACTCAGGGACTGCAGGGAGCTGAGACCAGCAGCAGAGGAAGATCTGTGAGGCAAGATGGACCCCCACTCTTTAGTCCCACTCCTCTGGATCTGGGCATGCTCCTAGGTGAGTCTGTGTCTGGCTATCACCCCAGGCAGAGAGAAGCAGAAGACCAACAGTCAGAGGGAGTGGCCTCTAGGGTGAGTGAGCAAGTCATACCTGCTCTCTCTTCCGCCTCCTGCTTGATTCCTACTAGGACCCAGTTTCTGACCCAGGGCCCACCCTTACTCCAAGATTGGGAGTCAGAGACTTTGGCAGGGACTGGATTCTACTCCAGCGCTGTGGTAAGGCTGACCAAATCCTCTACAGCAGGGGTCCTCAAACTTTTTAAACAGGGGGCCAGTTCACTGTCCCTCAGACCATTGGAGGGCTGGACTGCGGGTCCTGGGACAAGTCAGCTGTTAAGCAGGACAGGAGGCAGCGGCAAAAACACCCGGCGGGCCGGATAAATGTCCTAGGCAGACTGCATGTGGCCCGCTGGCCTTAGTTTGAGGATGCCTGCTCTACAGGAAGGACGCTGAACTCAGAGAGGACAACAACTCTCCCAAAGTCACACAGCAAGTTGGCAGGGGACTCAGGACTCAAATCTGGGCTTCCTGAGTCTCAACCCCAAAGTCTGGCACTTCCTATGCCAAAGCCCAGCGGTTGGAGGGAGATAGTGCTAGATCCATACGATCTATGAGAGCTGAGTGAGCACCACAATGCCTCCAGTACAAAGGCAGGGGTAGCGCTGCCACGTGACGAAGGGCTCAGCATCTCAGGTGTGAAGGATGGGTTGAGGGACCAGGGCTCGCAGAGGGGCTTTGCTTGGATGGCAGGTAGAGTGGGCGAGCTCTTGGCCTATGGACGCCTAACACCCTCTTTCTTCCCTACATACACGAAAGAGAACCTGGAATGCATGTTGAAACTGACCAGCACTAAGGGCACCTGCTCACACCAGGGTCTTCCCTGCCCTAGCAAGCCTCGCCTGACTGCCCTAGTCAAAGGGAGGGTTTAGCCTGAGGGGACAGGGACCATCCCACTGGCAGGGACAAGCTCCTACCCCTGGCTCTCTGCCTCCGGAGCTCTTCCATACAAGGAAGCTCATCAGACGCTCATTCTGGGAAGCTTCACACTCAGACACCAGAAGAGACAAAGACCCTCCTTTACCCCCTCTAAGGACACAGACCCTCTGACTCTCCCAGCCTCATCCCCCTCAGTTCCAGGTGCCCTGTGGGTGCAGGGGCTTCCTGGGGAATCTTCCACAGCCACTGTGACACTGACTTCAGAAGGCGATTGTCACAATTCAGAAAGCAAGATTGGTCCTCACTGAGGGGCTGTTGCTGAGCCTCAGCCCTAGAAGTACAAAAAGTCTTTATTTCATAGAAATAAGGGCAATTTCCACAGTTATGGGGACAGAATGAAAGACAGGAGGGGAGGTGCTGAGCTGACTGTCCTCTTCAGAAAGCTGTTTGGAACTGGATGGGAGAGCCCAGGGCCACAGCCAAGACCCACCCTGGCCACAGCCTGAGCTCCAACTTTGGCTGGCTGTAATTCATAGAGAGAGTGGTAGGGGGTGTGGGGTTGGAGGCAGTTGGCCAATTATTGTAGATTCCTGCACAGAGAGGTGGTGACTTTCGGCGTCCATCACAGGCACCCGGAAGCCTCAGGGCAGGGACCACAGGGAACCAGGCTTACATCGGGGTGCTGCGGACCTTGCCCTCCTCCTCAGGAACGTTTTCATAGGCATTCTCATGCTCACCGGACCTGAAAGCAGATGGTCCAGGTGGGTCATCACACCTCCTCCCATTCCATCCCCTTCTCCCTGCCCATCCAACACATGTAAAGACAATATCTTCCAAATTCAACATTTGACTTCCAGAAAGAGGTTCCCCCACCCCATCTGGGCTTGTACACCTGAGACAAGGAGCCTCTCAGCACCCCCGGACCTCACTTCCCTCGTCCTCTGGGTCCCACTGAGCAACCCTCCCCCATGGTGCCCATCGTCCCAAGTATCATCCCCTCCTGAGCCCTCCCTCACATTGAGTCCCCCATTCATTCATCCCTTCACGCAAGCCCCTTCTCCTTTGAGCCACTTCCCCCACACTGCCCACTGCCCTGTGACCCCCAATCCACCTGCTGAACCTTCCCCATCCCCTAAATGACCCCCCACCCCAGATTGAGGTGAGGCTGCATCTCCCCCAAAGAGCCCTGCAGTGCTCACAGAGCCCCCAGCCCCTCACCAGCCCTTCCTCACCCCTCCTCAACCCCTCAAAAACTCTGGGTCCCAAGACTCTCTCCCCTCCCCTGCCAGGGTCGCCCTGTGTGGCACCTTACCTGAAGCTGGCCGCCATGGAGGAGTACCTTCCATCCATCCCCATCATGACCCCATCGACCTTGTTTCCAACAGTCATGACCGTGTGCGTGGGATCCCTGGGGACAGGGCTCATCAGTGGGTACATCAGTGGGGGCCCATCCAAGCAGAGCTTTTCCTGGGTCCTGTTTCTCACAAGCCCAATGGGCAGCCCCTTCACAGAAACACCCTCATCCAGCAGGTGCTGGACAAGGGGCCTCACACCCTTCTCTGGGCTCCTCTGTGGGGGAACCAGGAATTTGCAAAAGGCTTCTCAGGCATGTATGGCCCCTCTCCACACCCCCACACAGCCCCCCTTGGCTCAGCCCCAAAGAAGCCCCAGCAGGAACAATGTCCTTGGGCAGGTGCAGGCAGTGGCTGCGGAAGGCTGGGGCTGTGGGGAAAGCACGGCCAAGGCGCATCTGACAAAACCTCCTGCCTCTTACTCAAGTTTAGACCCCCCAGGGGTCAGGCCCCTGGAAGCTGCTCCCACGGGTCACAGGAATCTTACACCTACTCATCTTTCCTCAGACATCTCACTGGCACCTCAGACTTCCTGTGTCCCAAATTAAACTCAGCAGTTCCCCAGATCCCCTCATCTTCTGTGCTTTGTGCCTCGGTGAGTAGTTCCCAGGCAGAAACCCCAACATCAGCCCTCCTCCCCTCATGCCCACTCCCTATCTCCGTCCACCAGCTCCCATGGCCAGATGTCTGGCCCCTCCTAGCATCTCATAGATCTGTTCCCCTGTGGCCAGACCCAGACCCCCCCCCCCAACCTTATGCCTCCTCATCACCCTCTGCCATGCCTGCGGACCAGCCCCACCTCCCTCGGCTATGCATCTGCCTTGAGGCAGCCAGAGTGACTCTACTGAGGCAAATCTCATCCCCAGACTGGCTTAAAGACTTGTCATTGGACTCCCATTGCACTAAGGTAAAGCCCAAAATTCAGGTCATTGGCACACAAAGGCCTGCTTGGTCCAGGTCCTGCCTGCCTTGCAGCCTCATCTCGGGCCTCTCCATCTCTTTCTACACCCAACTGAGCTGCTTGGGTTTCCTTGGCAGCCTGCAAACAGCTGTTGCTGGCACCCAGGCCACCAGGCCACCTTTGTGAGGACTGGGAAATGACACCCCTGGGGACAGAGGTAGCCTTGCCCCAGGCCCTGGCCTGGAGTTCAGGCCAGCCACTCTTGACCTTTGTGTGTCTTCACCCAGCAGCCCTGGTACTCCTGGCTCAAGCCTAGGGTATGCTCTCCCCTCCACTGCAGCAGTTCCCAGGCCACTATATCCCATAACTGACCTCTTGTTCTCCAGGTTTCCAGATCCACATACAATGGAGGTGCCTCTGACTGACCACCCACCCTGGGCCAGGTCCTGCCATGCTCTCTGCACTCCTTGGTAGCCACAGCATTTGAACTTGTGATTGCCTATCCAATCTGGGCCCAAAAGGTCAGGAGTCTCCTCTGTCCCATGGCCCCTCTCTACCACTACTGGCCCTGAAGAAGGATGGGGTCTCCCCTTCCAGAAATCCTCACAGCCCCTCACAGACTGGACAGTATCCTGATTCTGCAGATAGAAGCAGTGAGACACCAGGGAGAGAAGTCCCTTCCCCAGCACCCACGTGGAGTAGGCACAAGAGCTGTCAGGCCAACAGCCCAGGTCTGGGAGTAGCCAGCTGAGCTGTAGTTCACCAACTCACTGTCTGACTTTGAACCTCAGTGTCCCTTCTACACAGTGAGAGTACTGGATCCAGGCCCTTCTTACAGCTCTTACAGCAAGAGCAGTGGTCCTGGGGCCCTCCCTGACTACTCAGGCACCCCAGCCCCGGGGCCCTCAGGCAGCACTCACGGCTCTTCCTTGCACCAGAAGCGGTTTACGGCAAAGGCAATTGCAACGAGGACCAGAAACACCGCTACGGCGATGAGGCCCTGCATCCAGGGCTGAAGTTTTCCCAGGCCTGAAAAGAGGTGGAGGTTGTAGCAGACTGGAGATGGAGGGCTCTCATGCTCCAAAGGCTGCAGCCTGTATTGGAGGCCATCAGCAGTGGCCAGGATCAGAGGAAAGATTCTGGGTGGTAGGGAATGTCAGCCCACTGACTCCCGCTGAGCTGAAGGAAAGGATGGAGTCAGAGAAAGGATAGAGGCTCAGGGAGAAGACAGGAGGTGGTGGGAGGAATGAGTTGCCAAGGGGACAGGCCTCAGAGTACTGGATCTCAGATCCAGGTAGCCCAGAGCCTCTTCCCCTCTCCCTGGTGGGTCACATGCTGGGCCTGCAGGTAGTGTCTGGGCCCCAGGGACCAAAGGGCAGCCCCCTGGACAGCCAGCTTAGGCCGAGCTAGCTGGGAGTGGCTCCCAGAAGGCCAAGGAGGGCCCAGAGCTGACTAAACTAGGCTGGCATCTGGAAGATCCTGTTCTGTAACAAGAGGTTTCACTGGTGCTGGGAAAGATGTGAGGGTTGGGGCACAGGGCTGCTCAGGTAGGGGTGTCCCAGCTGCCCAGAGAGAAGAGTGGGCCAGAATATCTCTAGAGAGACAGGCCAGAGGGGTGAGCCTTCCTCTGTGTCTTGGGAGCTAGGAAGAAAGTTTCAGAAACCAAGCATCTTGTGACTCCTCCAGCTGTGTATGCCGGGGACTAGGGAGAGAAACTAGTTACCCTCCTCTTCTTCTTGACCCTGACACCAACTTAGACTCTCAAGATTTCCTAGAAATCAGGCCACACCAGCAGCCCCAAGGGCTCTCTCCCAGGCCTCACTGTGATCCACAAACCAGAGAGAGCTCAGTCCTGCAGAGGAAATACCTCAGCTCGTTGAGGTCCCAGGAGGGGACATAGGACTACAGGAGGCTTTTGAGGGATCCTGCCTCTAGGCCAAAACACCTGCATCTCTAGAGACATCTTATATTTTAGGGGCCAAGGCTAGGCATCCAAAAACTTTATACTGCCTCTCTCCCACTCAAAAGTTCTACCTTGAGTCTACCCTAAAGCTCTCTTGCTGTAGTAAAAGCCTGGCCTCTTCTCTGAGCCTCGCAGGTATTGAGAAGGGTAGAGTCTAGGAACTCTGGCCTCCAGCCAGGTCAAACCTTGCTTATTTCCAGGGGAAGCAGAAGATATACAGTGTGGGTACTCTGAGTTCCACACCTGCCAAAAAACGATGTTTTGGATTCATTATTTACCCCAGAGAAACAATGATTCAGGCTTATTGGTTGCTCAGGTCAGTGGTTGCTAAAGCATTGGGAGTTAGGGCTCTATCCCTGGAAGGCCCTCTCCCTGCTTGCTTCAGACCCTGCAGCCACTTCCCTCCTGTCACCTGTCACACCAGGGACCACATTTCTCTGCTCCTCCTCCCATGCGACTTGGGTTAGCACATAGAGAGCAAGGGGCAGAGCCTTGGGCAGGAGAAAGATGGTCTGAGTCTTGTCCTTTCTCGCCCTGCTGTGTAAACCATGTACTTGACCTCTCTGGTCTTCAGTTCCCAGAGGGCTTCAGAAGCAGACATACATGAGAGCTCAGAGAATGGGGTGCTCTGCAAGCATTTTTGCCAATTCCCCCATCTAAGTCTCACCTGCAATCACTCGACTTTGGCTGCAGGTGCCAGATCTGAGGGTGTGGTGCCTCACCTGGTGCAAAGCCCTTCCACATCCCTGACCTGGCAGCAGCTCAAGAAGTGGGCAGGGTGCGGCTCACTGTTTTTATTTTAGGGGTGAGAAAACTGAGTCTCAGAGAGGGCTGTGATTTGCTCAAGGCCACACAGCAAGACAGGCAGAGCTGGAGGAAGAGCTCAGGTATGTAGGAGGACCACAAGGGAGAACTCAAGCTCAGAAAGCTGAGACAATGAAGACTTAGGTCAAAGCCAGGAGCAAACTCCTGACAGCACTGCCCCTCCTTGGAGCAAGCCTGCCTCCAAGGGGTGGCTTGGGACCCCTCCCACTCTCTTGTAGCCCCTAGCCCCTACACTCAGAACTAGCCATCTCTACGGTAATGCCTGCTCTTAGGGGTTGGGCCCAACTCCTGCTTCTCCCCCAGATCCTAAACCAAACAATTCCCTGGGGCCCCACTTCTCACTGGTGGAAATCAAGTCACAGAGACCTGGCTCAGAGGTCTCTAACTTGGGAAGATCCTCCAGCTAGTCCAGTCCCTGCTCCCCCTAAAACTATAGGAATACCACCCCATCAACACCCAGGTCACCAGCACCCAGCCCAGCCCTCTCCTCTCTGCAGCCAGTGGGGCTAGCCCAGTCCTATGCTACCTTGTTGACAGTCGGCGACTGGCACTGCCACCAGCAGGCCCAGAATGACCAGGCTGAGAGCTGACATGGCTTCAGGCAGCTTCCTTCCTGCCACTGTGGAGTCTGTTAGTGTGGATCTGAGATCAACCTGGGCTCCGTCTGGTCCTGGAGGAAAGGAGCTGGGAAGGAAGAAGGCAAGGGGAGGAGAAGGGACGATGGGCGGTGGAGAGAAACTGCCCTCCCTCCCATGGTAATGAGCTGCCAAGCCTGGCCTCCCCTGGCCTGCTCCCAGCCTGCTTGGCAGGCAGTTGAGGCATCTTCCAGGGGCCAGCTAAGGAGGCGGGCCTTAGGACCAGGCAGATGTGGGAAGAGTCCCAGTCTCCACCTCTGAGCTCTGAGCTCCCCCTTCCTGGCAATGGGGTTGGGCTCTAGGGAAAGGAAAGACACACCTGCCTTGACAGACCAGCGGGCGGGGCTTCTTGGAAGGCGGATAGTGGGATTAAGAAATTTGCTGGCTGGCTCTGGAGCCTGGGGAAAACCCGAGAGGCTCAGCCCCCAGAGCCCAGCCTATTTCCTGTTCTGCCCACACCTGTCCCTGTCCCACCAAGCCAGACCCAAGACACAGTGCAGTGTGTTTCTGTGTCCACCCCCTCTCCAACCCAGTAGCTTCCTAAATCCACCCCCTTTCACTGAGATCTCCACAGGGGACCTGAAGGTCCCAAGCCTTCCCAGCCCGGGACCAAACCCTGACCCTGCCCAGCTGCCCTGACCCAGTCCAGCTCTTCCTCTTGGCCCCAGACATGCTCTCTAGAAACCAGGCAGGGCTTCCCTTGATAAGATCTGGGCCTGGTAAGGCCTTAGCAACTACCCTCAGGGCCATCCCTGCCCATCACAGGGGAGAGAAAGGAGGCATCACTATGATGTGAATACAGCTCATCAGGGGGTAAAGGAAGGACACTCCAAGTGGCAAGGTCTAATCTGGGCCCTAGAATCTTTGGGCAGTTGGCCCTGATGGCCAGGCCAGCCTTGAAGAAGGTACACCTGGAACAAGGAGGCCCTGGAGTCAGACTCCTCAGAAGAGGCAAAAGTCCCCCCAGGATCACATGGTATCCCTCTGGTCCTCCAACTCAGGGTCTGAGAACAACCCAAGTACTATAAAGGCCCCAGACTAAAGGTCCTGCTGGGTCTCCTTGCCCCTACCTCACCCCAGGAGTACAGGAAGCGGAGATGCTGACTCCATAAAAAGAAGGAGCCAGCAGGCCAGGACCAAAGTCTCAAGGATGGACAGTCCCCAGAAGCCAGGGCCTGATCAGAAGGCCCTCCATATATTTCCTACCCCAAAGCCACCAAACTGTTGTGCACAGGGCCTCTGGGCTGCCCTTTACGTGGCAGGATGGTTCTGCCAGTGGGAGTATGCAGGCATCATGCCTGGTGCCTGCTTCCTCTGTGTGTGTGTGTGCACGTGCATGCACACACATGTGTATTCACATGCATGTGTGGTGGGACCCATTGCCATCCAAAGATGGGATGTCTCGAGGTGATCTAGGGGAACTTTGCTTAGAGTTGAGTGATGCCTCCCATACATGCAGATCCTATTCTACCTCCTGCCCCAACTTTGGTGTCTTCAGAATCTTCTAGCACTGCCCAGAGTAGGCACTGTGTGTGTTAATGAACAGCCAGGGAATCACTGACTGGAATGAAAAGAATGGGGCTGAATTTAACAATTAACCACTGATGCCAAGGGTTTTAAGTAAGGAAATTATATGGTCAGTTTTGCATTTGAGAAAACTCCTCTTTATAGACTGTGGAGAGTAAAAATGGCATGCAAAGACTGGAGAAAGGGCAAGCAGGGAGGCTGCTGCAGCGGCCCCAGCATCTGTGGTGGGGCCTGCATCAAGGAGTGGCAGTGAGGATGGATCTGGGCCCTGTTGAGGGCATGGTTGCTAGAACACAATGAGTTCCTGGGAATGGGTGTACAGGGATGTGTGGAGGTGAAACCCAGCCTCTGACTTGGGCCAATGGGTGGATGTAGTCCCTCAGAAAGGCCAGAGGGTGACATCTAGAAGCCTGCAGAATCCTGGAGAAGAGCCAGATCTGGGAGCCATCTGTGTGTGATGCAGCAATGGTAACCCAGGCATGGGGATACCTGGTCTCCCCAGAACACATGTGTGTGTTGAGAGGACAGCAGAGAAAGAAAGGGAGTGAGGGACCAGGACGTAGTCCCAACCCATAAAGATCTTCGAAAAGAAGAGGAGGGATGGAGCAGGAGGAAGAAACTACAGAAAAGTAGGGGTTTCCCAGGAGCCAAGGAAGAGGTGGAGGGAAATCACTTCTGTGACCCCCCAGCCAGTGCCCCCCGAAGCAGCCCAGCCTCTGCCCTCAGCCCCAAGTCCCAGCCTCTGCCTCCCTCACCCAAGCACCCCCCACTGCACTCCTTTGTGAGTGGTGGGGGAGGAGGGTGAGCAGGAAGGACATCAGGTGACGAACAGGAGGAAAACACATCTCCCGGGTCAAAGTCCCAAGCTTTTTAGAGCAAAACAAGTTGTTCCAGAAAGGGGGGGTTGTGGGTGGACAGTTGACTTTGAGGCTGGTCCCTGCTCCCTGGAGGTCCTCACAAGGGCAGTGGGTCATCTTCCCAGCTGTATGGACACAACCCTAGCCCCTATGGTAACAAGGTGGGCCCCCCTGCTGGTCTGGCTTGGGCCCAGGGCTGGACTCAAGTCTCAGCAGCCCCACAAGGCTGGCCCTTGGGTCCTAAGCAGCTGTTCCATCAACACTCAGTTCCTCCTACCTGTTCCCAGCCTATCTCTGCCCCACAGAATCATCAGGCCCCTTAGGAAAGCCCTCCATACGCTAGATCCCTCTACCCCTTGCGTGGTACTTCAGAAAAGCCCAAGTGGGCCTGGAGTCTCGGCCCCACCCCCATCTTGTCTGTCAGTCCATCCCAGTTGTTGCCATCAGGTGGCAGTATTGAGCTCAAATCCCAGATATGTGGGGGAGGGCAGGGAACCGGTTTGCAGCAGCAGATCCTTCAAGTTCCCCTCTTTCTAGCCCTCCTTTCCACCCCACCTCCAGGGATGCTTTGGAGGAAAGGAAGGTGGACATTGACGTGCCAATAGTCATTGGCGTGCTTAGCAATGCTTATGGCATGCTCAGCAATTTCACTAACCTCTAACTAAAATTTACCATTTTCTTCGGTTAGGAAAGAAGGCAACAACCCACAGTCCTTCTGTGATATTTTCACATCACCGTATAACCGTTGCAGATATCCGGGTGTATCATTTGTGCGCAGCCCTATGGAGGTACAATAGGCATTGGACCTTGCACAAGATTTTGTCTTTGAACACATTATAAAGATACACATCAATTGGGCGGCGCCTGTGGCTCAGTGAGTAGGGCACCGGCCCCATATAGTGAGGGTGGAGGGTTCGAACCTGGCCCCAGCCAAACTGCAACAAAAAAAAACAGCTGAGCGTTGTGGCAGGAGCCCTGTAGTCCCCACTACTTGGGAGGCTGAGGCAAGAGAATCACCTAAGCTCAAGAGTTGGAGGTTGCTGTGAGCTGTGATGCTACAGCACTCTACCGAGGGTGATAAAGTAAGACTCTGTCTCCGAAAAAAAAAAAAAAGGTACACATGAATTGCTATATTATAAATGTATATGGTTTTAATATTTTTATAGCTACATTTCAGTATAATGGGTTTCCTTTGCAAAGCTATGCCTTTTATTTTGTGCACTTAAAGACGTTACTGTGAGAAAGGGTCCATAGCCTTCACTGGATCACTCAAGGTTTCCAAGGCTCAAAGAGGCTTAAGAAATCCTGACTCACCAGGTGTTGAGGGTAGGTCTGCTCAAAGCAATGTCCCGGAAGCTCAAGGAGAGACCTAGAGAAAGACTGGCGACTTTCTGGACAGAAGCCTTCTGGGACTCAGAGTTGGAGCTATGATCAGACTGAACACCAGTGCTTCTGCCCCAGAGGCCCCCAGTGCCTGGAAGCTGGAAGGGGCCAACAGCATCAACCCAGAGCCAGCCAAGCCCAGGAATGCAATGGCTGTAACACCTGGGTCCTTGGAAACCCCACTGGGTTGGGGAGATTTATGGCCAGGACCCCCCAGTGGGAAAAGATCAATCAACCCCTCCTGCTGCCCACTCCTCCAGCTAAGAAACTAAAGGACTGGCCTTGTGCCAAGAGCCCAGCCTGCCAGCAAGGTCCCAAAGCCAAATCATTGCCCTGTGGTTCCAGCACAACTCTCCTCCCCTATCCAGAGCTCCAGGCCAGCAATAGAACCAAGCTGCGTGTACTGGCTTCTAGAATCACAATCTCTGTAGGCCTAAAAGTTCATCCTGAATGGTGTGGTCTTGCTCCTTATTTTTCAACTGGGGACAGAAAGAAAGGGACCATCACCATCTGAAGATCACACAGCAAGTTAGTAGGAGAGATAGGATTAAACTTCAGGAATCCCAATGTCCAGCCTAAGGCTCAGTCCTATTAAGCACCTACCATTGGTCAGTTTCTCAAATAACACTTGGGCTTTCTTTCACTCATCACTCAATGCATGTTTAGTGTCTACTGTGAGACCGGAAATACAGTACAGGTTGAATATCCCTTATCAAGAAACACTTCTTGTCCCAAGCATTTTAAAAATATTTGCCTGTACATGAGATGGGACCCACGTCTAAGCATAATTATTTTTTTAGGGAGCAGGATCTTACTTTGTCACCCAGGCCAGAGTTCAGTGGCCTTGTCATAGATGTTTATGACCTTGAACTCCTGGGCTCAAGCACTCCTCCTGCCTCAGCCTCAGACCCTCAGGTATCTGCCACCATGCTTGGCTAATTTTTTTATTTTTTGTAGAGACAAAGCCTCTCTATATTGCCTAAGTTGGTCTCAAACTCCTAGATGCTAGCAGTCCTCCATCTCAGCCTCCCAGAGTGCTGGGATTCCAAACATGAGCCACTGCATCAGCCTCAAGCATGAAATTCATTTGTGTTTCGTATACACCTTATACACATAGGCTGAAAGTAATTTTATAGAACATTTTTGCGCACAAAACAGTTTGGCCTAATATCTAACAGACGAAGTCAGGTATGGCGTTTTCCACTTGTGGCATCATATCAGTACCACAGTGCAGTAGATTTTGAAGCATTTCAGATTTTGAATTTTTTGTTTCGTTTTGTTTTATTTTGTTTGA